ATGAGCCAGGTCGCTTCCCATCCTAAGTTTCTTCCACCCTTGTGAAAGGGGTAGAAGAAAACCTGTTTGCATTCACCTTTTCATAGTTTCTTTAGAGATTTGTTCGTCGAAACAAAGAGCTACATAGCCCGTGTATCGCAAAAGTAGTCTACTTATTTATTTTTTTTCAACCGTGGAAATTGTCAATAATTGTAAACAGCGCATCTACATCTCCTACACTGCTTAGCGTTTAAGAAGAAGTTTCAAGTCAGCTTTTTTTCAGTGAAATCGAAGGTTCCCGCTAGGGAATTCTCTAATCCTTGTTATAGAAGAGTCGAGTTTACAGTCAATTGGCTTTACTTGCATTCCTTTTATTACCAGAAAACACCACTGCTTTGAAAGAGGATTATCTGAAGGCGATGGAATAGTGGGGGTTCGATTGCCTTTTAACTGCTGCGAAATACTGCTGCTGTAAATATCAAACACAGAGCTGTGTATGCTGTAATGACTGTGATAAACAGGAGTAATAACCAGTTTTTCTAATGTCAAAGATTTGAAGGCTGAAACCAGAAACTTGAACTTTGCTACACTTTTAATTGCCTTCTGTTCTTCCATGTCACTTCAAAGACCTCGTTTCACTTTTAGACTTGCCATATCTTTGTTCATTAGAGCAAACGGAAATATGTTTAGCCTTCGATCTAGTCGAAAAGGAATTTCTTAGGCAATTTCCGCCTTTCACTTGCCGAATTTCCGTCGTTGTGGCATAGCTCATTGCAGCCAATGAATTTAGTCTGTCACTGCAGCGCTCGCAAACAGCCCTCTGGTAGCTCTCTAATATTGTTGTCGTTTGTTGATCTTTTCTTTAAATGCTTTGGAGCAAGGATCTTATGGTGCCTGTTGTTGTTTACCGTTATCTTGCAGGTCCTTGAAACATCCTCAGATCAGAGAATGTTTGGTTTTGCAGTTTTATGCTAAACTCTAGACTTATGTGCTAAAGCTTTTCCTTTTACTTCCCGGTGGATTTGGTTTGAAATGAAAGATATCATCAGGAAATGANGATGCTCTTCTATTCTATACATTTCGAAGTAACAGACCAGTAAAATACAATCGATAATAACATACTGGACGATGTCAATCATATCAGCACATCGCATCTTATTGCCATCTTTATCCCCCATGAACTTGAACGACGCTTTGAAATTGAAGCGGGAGGAGTTGTACATATCTGATAAAACCTTTCGGTTATTAGTCGATCATAATTAGACCATAGTATGTAAAGGATAGTTTTTGCGTCATTTAATCCTATTTCTCTAATACCCCTCCCCCCACCCCCCTTCACCTCTAAACCTACATTGAGAATTGAAGTGGCATTTTGAAGCGTTAGACGAGAATGTGTCGTCGTAAGTTATATGGAAAGGGTATTTGGACGAGCTGTTCAAATGCGCGCGCCATTGCATACGGCTGGCTACAGTGAGCTGCTTGCGTGCAAGGCGTGGGTCCCGGTGCGCATGGTGCAACCTGTACAGCTTTTACAACGCTTCAGATCTCGTCCTTGGGTTTGTACGTCGGCTAAGCCGGTTTTGGGGCCCTTATTACGCCCTATCTTGCCGCCTTTCGACACGACAGCGTCTTTCAACTGCCTTCAAGGGTGATATAAAATGAAAGAGTCCCAGGAACCGTTTTTATCGTGAATCTTGCCTTCGAGTGGCCATGTATAACTCAGCGTTATATCCTCGTAAACGAGACGGCTACAGTTTTATCAATCCTTCTAGGACCTATGATGTGTAGTAGTAAAAATAACCTAGATGATTCAAGCTAGTAATCGTTGACCAATTCGGTTGTGACGTACTGAATGCTTTACTGTTTTTTAGAAGTCCATTTTTGAGAGTATAAGATTCATTTTGAAGCTCGAATTGTCCCTCAACATGATGGTATTGGAAAATTTCCATTTTCTTCCCGATGTTTTTTTCGTTAACGTTATGCCCTTGTGTCTCCCAATTCCATTATGCAAGAAAATGAAAAAACAGAGATTTTTCTTCATCGGGTATTCTCTCTTTTCGACTTTTCCGATTACTCTTCTTTTTTGAAATTTCTATGCTTTTCCCCTTCCGACCGTGAACTCGTTAGTTGCTGGTTATTCAGAAGTAGCGCTGTGAGGTAGGTATCCATAATTTCAGAATGAGCAGTCGTGAACAAGCCGTGCAGCAAGCAAAGAAGACGATAGAGCAACTGCGTGGGGAACGGAACATGCGACGAACTCCTGTTTCCGCATCCGCAGCCGATTTAATAAGGTGAGTCCATTGCATTTTTACTAGTTATGATGTATTTAGGTCAATAGTGCCGATTCGTCGTGGCCATCGTTGAATTTCGATTGTTTTTTCCTGGCCATCGTCTGATCCTTTTTTTTCTTTTTTTACAGATTCACACAGGATCTACAGCGCGAGGATGTGCTGTTAACCGGGTTCCCCAACGACAAAATGAATCCGTATCGCCCGAAGAGTTCGTTCCAATGCAGTCTTATCTAGGTGTCACAGTAATCTACTAGCAAGTTCACGTTTCAATTGTCAGTTGTCAGCTTCTATTCTTCGCCGCCACATATCATCCATCGTATGCTTCCTGCTTCACTTTTTCACTATGCCTTTGTGATTCACTGGTACCATTTGACGCCTTTTGTAAGATAAGCATGAAATATCCAAATTTGTTCAGAACGTTTTAGCTCTTTGTACCCGCAAAATGATGCCCAAAAAGGTTCCAGTGCTTCCATTTTCTGCGATGACCGTTTGATTTGAAAGAAAAGTTGATATGTTGAAATATTTGTAGCATTTTCCCATACTGATTATAAAAATAGTGTATTCCACATAACTTTATATGCCAACTGCCACTTAATCCAAGAATGGAGCATAAATTTTTGTAAAGTTGTGACATTTGCTCGCCATTACTATTTTATATAGCAGCTGTGATAGGTATCCTTTGGTCNCTATCTATTTGACCTAGAAGGTCTGGGAGATTCTGGTTAATGTTGGTCCGATATGTGGGAAGGAGGTTTTACGGTCAGGTACCTAAGCTGAACTTGACTAGGTGTCCCGGAAGAGTTAGACGTATAGGGACAACCGAACGGCATGAAAATCGGTCTGATGTCTCACTTGGCCTTGGCATAAAATTAGTCATTGTGCAGAAAAGCGAAGTCCTGCTCAACTACGGGAAAGTGGAGGGGATGTGGGTGATCTCCAGAAAACGGCAGGATCTACGCATGCATATAAGTATCAGCAAACTACTGTACAGTTTGATGTGCAGGTTATCAAGAAAAGGTAAATGACAAGGTGACTAAGGGAGCGAGCTCTACCTCGTGTGGTATGTGCGTTTAGATCTGCGAAAGGCGGAGCCAAGACTGCACATAAATAACCCCTTAACAGAGGTTTAATTACTTGGGTAAGTCGAAAGTATAAAGGTTCTGGTTCTGACCTTGTCATTGCTGCCAGCTAGCTTCCCCACTTCATCTCCCTACCTGTCTTCCTGCTCTCAACCCTAACTGTCTCCTCTTTTTCTAATTGGTTGAAAACCTTCTTCATTAAATGGCTAGCATATGTGGGACGTTAGGTTCATTTTTCTTTAGGGCCAATGAAAGAGTTATGCCTGTTATATAATGCCAACTGCCAACTTGCCAGCCATCTACAGCTGTAAGCAGGACCGAATACTAGAATGTATAACATTATTTTTGCCGTTTCTACCAGTTTTTAAGGGCAGTTTGAGAAATTGAGGGCTTTGCTCATCACTTGGGAACAGTACCCATCACTCCGAGTCAGTCCATCATCATAATTTACGCGACTTATGGGTTCATTCAGTCCAGTTTCTTGTCATCATCTTACACTATCCATAACGCTGACCTATATTAATGGCTATTTGTGATCAATGGTTAAAGACTTATGACCCGTCGAAATCTACTTGTTCCTGGCTCACAATGAATAGCAATACCCCAACCTTCTTACCATACCTTTGGTTCGTGCATTTATCATCTAGCTTATGACCCTGTGTGGCGTATTTTATAAATAAATAGAAAAATAGTGTATCAAAGAAGTTTATCAGCGAAAAATGTTTTGATTGCTCCTCTATCGTCCCTGGTAGTCCAAATTGACATTGCTTCAGGTACAATCCTTAGCTCAACTACTGTAAGCATTTAGCATCTATATATTAAAGAATCAAGATTAAAATCTTTGGGAATCGGTCAAAGAGGGATGCGCCCCGCATTCGGCTTCCAATCAGATCGTAGTGACGTATTGAATGCGTATAGGGGCTACATGACTTGCAGTGGCCAGCCGATGTACAAGCCAGTACTTTTATCCCACAGACGAGCCTTGTACCAATTAAACCATCCCTGAAACAGAAGGCTTGGTCAGCCTAGGCGGATAACGATCGGGGAATCGAACCCGTGACGATACGTGTGTGATAGTGCCGCCACTACACCTGCACCGCAACCAACTACATATTATTTATTTTTATTGCTTATATCTGAACTGTCAGACAAATAAATACGTGCAGGGTGGATGAAATTCCAAGAAATTGATTGGTGGTGTCATACTACGACAGTGCAGTGCTACCAAACTGATGTAAAGCCTGAAAGCACGCTCTTGTGGTAGACCATCATCGAAAACGGTACCCTTCGGTTATGGAATGAACCCTTTGGAAGTCGATGCAGGTGATTGGCTGCTTTCATAGTACGCCGGCTGGCCGGCCGGCCGGCGCGCCGGCGCGCGTGCCGGCCGGCGTGCCGGCGGACTATGAAAGCAGCCATCAAAGGAGGATTGGATAACAGAACTATGGTCACCATTTCGGGCAGATAAACAATTTTGTTTATAGATAAACAGCCTTTTTCAAATGGAATCTCTTTTTTTTGCTAAAAATCAATCTGAATTCTTTTGAGGCCTTCGATATCCCATTTGTACTTTTTCGTTATGTCGTACGCTGTCAAAAAAGGTCAATGCGCCGAGCTTTACACTGTCGGTCTAGCCAGGCGCACAGTTGAACAATCATGACGGCCTGATCGGCCATTCTCTTCTGACCAGTCACCTTTCGAATTCCATCTGCTGGACAGTCACTGAAGTGGTTCCTGAGCAAGGCGAAGTTCTGCAGCACCAACCTTTGGTTCAACACCGGCTGACTGATTTGAATCGAAGTATGAAAGGGTCCTTTGAGCGGAATGCTACTACAATTCTACGGCCCTCCCCTTGAAGTTGTCATCTTTGGAGCCTTCGCAGGTAAGAAACCACTGGATCAACCTAAAGCAGTGGTACTTGTAGATGATATGATCATTCTTAAATGTTGACTGATCTCCTGCATCCTCTACCAGTAATAGTCCTTCCCTATTGAAGTCAAAACCAAATGCTCTCATCTGGGAAATTACCGATGATTCCTGTATTCCTACGAAAATACTAATGACGTCCTAACCTGGGGTGAACTTTTCAAAGCCTCAATCGCAAATTTTAGAAGCTCAAGATTCAATAACAAGCCAGGTAGCAGTTACAAATGGAAATGAATTTATGACAGCTTCGAAAAATTATACCCCAACCTACTTTTGGGGCAAAAAATCAGGATGTGATTCGGAAAAAACTTGAAGCAACTGATAATGAGCTTTTATTCCTATTTCGACTTGATCCACCAAATCGTCGGCCCATTCTATAGCCGACGCAGATGTTACGATTCTCGGAAATGTTCAAGCCAAGCCTGTACTCCGAGTATGAACCTGCTGTTTTTCCACAGAAGCAAATAATCACATCACTGCTTTGTGCTACTTATGGTCACGGGATGCTTTGAAATAGCATCTCAAAACTGTGATACTAGTAAACTATGGTAGAAATCGAACTGAACCTTAGTTTGAGTTCGTTTTCCTGCGTGTTCACTTCCATTCTTCAGCTGCCTCGCTCCATTTTCACTGCGCTCGCTGACCGCAACGCTTCCACAGGCGTGACATTCGGTGAAATTCAATGCAAACACCCGAACTCCGCTAAATCAACAATTACAGATCGATTTGGTCTTTGGTTTTGTGCAGTTAAACACAAAGGGTTTTATTGTTCCCGCTGATATTACTGGAATCGCTTGAAAAGCCTTTGGTGGCCTTTGCCTCCCTTTTTCTCTGAACTTCTAGCGTTTCGTTTTTCATTTGTTTCGGCTTTTATTGTCTTAGAACAAAGGTAATAAAGTACTGGTCGGAATTTTTGACTGCCATAAAGTCGGACTTATGGCGAGAATTCCTAGAACTGTTGAATACCCGTTCCTGAATTTGTTTTCTCGTTCTGAGGTTGCAGTAGAACAATTTCTGACAAACTTTCTAACTTTTGAATTAATGATATTGAATTTCTTCTTGTTATAGTACTGAAAGGTGATCATTTGTCTATCAGAAATAGTGTTAAGGCAAGTTTTGTATGGGAACGAAAAGTTTGAAAATATAACTGGAACGACTGGAAAAGCAGTTTACAATAGCTACCCCTCAAAAAGTACACTACCAGTAACTCACCTCGCCTTTGATCTTCTGCGAATTATCCTCTCTATCTTTTAATGACTGTCGGCAGCGTTTCAAAGCAGCTAGTGTCCAACCACTGATCGTTCCGGTTCTCTCACGCCCAGAACACCCCGTCGTCACATCTCCGTTTTCCTCACAACTCCTACATCCCTAAACTAGGATTATCTATCGCATATATCCTACGGTTCCTTTTTTCTTTCTTAATGGTCCATTACTGAGTGTCCTGTCCCATATTCATATTCCGTCTCAACCAAGTTTTTCCTAGACATTGCCTTTAAAAGAGCTCAACACCCCATTTGTGTATTTAGGACACCTATTTTACCCCGTGTAGTTAGTTCTGAAGCATTTCTGCATGCTCGCGCAGATGGAGCAGTCGTTGAATGTGAGACGGGCAAAAAAGTCGTACGATCTCGTAAATGCAACGATTGACGTGAACAGAATGTCTCTCCCTTCGATTAAGGGTTTAGGCAGAGGGGTTTTCTGTGCTGAGCTGTTGATTCAAAGCAATCTGCTTGGAAACGCGCAAGGCCGACGAGCCTCGCTTAAAACGAGGTCATGGGTAAGATAAAAGGGTAGGATTTCTGCAATATGTTACTCACTGATAAGCATGTTACATGTTTCCAGTTTTGGCTCGTTATAATGACCCTGAACTGGCTTGAATCAAATTGTCATAGGAGACGAAAACACGGACATGAAAAAAGACACTACTCTGAATAGGTCTCACCTGTAGGCTGTGTCCAAGCGGGTAACGATAGCCTTCGAAGCAGAACTAATTCATTTGTGAATGAATATTTTCAAT